TATTTTGATGGTAATTTAATACTTCTATTCAACTATGAGAGTGACTTTGCTGTAACCCAGCAAAGTAATGGCAATCTAGCTAAACTAGCTTTAAACTAGCTTCCCTGGACAGTGATAAAAGCAGTTACTGGTAGCAGTATAACAGTGATTTCAAGGCAAGATACAGATTTGTCTTACAAGTTAAGGGAAACAGGCACTTGAGAAAATTTTTCCAGAGGTACTTACCTATACCGCACACTGGTCAACTAATTAAGACATTTGCACAGACCTAAACACAGATTTGGTTTGTTGCTTGAAGTATTATAATAAGCTCAATATGCATATTACATGATGCACTGACTCCTTTTTTTTTTCTAAAAAAAAAATTTTTTTAAATTGGAGTAGCAAGGGTGACCTCCAGTGTGCAATAAGTTTATGTCATTGCATCTTAAATGCAACAAACTACTCTTTTAGCCTACTATTGATTTCGATCATCCTATGAAAAAAATGCTTACTTAGTTTCTTGTATACGACACATCACCTTCTTCTTTGACCTGTAATTTCCAGTTAACGTTCGGCTTCTCTATTGTATTGCTTCAAATATACATACAAACTTGTGCGTATGTGTGTGTGTGTGTATATATATAGAATAAACAGAAAAACAGGAAAAAATCCTATCCAAATGCAGATGGTCACTGTCTGATATTTTCTTTTAGGACAAAAGTTTTAACATTAAAAATATATTGCAGAGGCTTTTCTATTAAGAATGCAACAGCATTACTGATTTTTAGGGCAACCGCTACGTATGAAATATCATTGCTCATAGTTTTACTAACATGCATTTTGTTTATGCACAAACTTGAAAATATTCAGGAATGTGAAGTCAAAAATATCATAATTCCACTTATACAAAAATATACATGTATTTTACTAAGCTATTTGGTACAGTATAAAGTAAAACCCATAACTTATACTGAATACAACCTATGCATGAAAAAAATTAAATTCTTGTTTCCAAAATGTAAATTCACTATATTGATAAGTTGTGTCAGATGGATATCTTAGAATGAATAACTTAGTCAACCAGGTATCTTTAAATGAAACCATAACGGTCGTCATCTGAATGAATTAAAAACTAAGAAAATTATTTTCACGTTCCTTTTTATTTCCATCATCAGTACTCAATTTACTTTTTGGTGATCATTTTTTCAAATAATTTGCTAATAAAATGGAGAGCATTTTTTAGCTAACTGCAAGCACACAAAAGATTTAATTATGGGTGCCTAGTGGTGCTACTGTCTGTCAACGTAAGTGTCATTCAGGGTCTGTCAGTGTTCCCATTATATATCCCTACTTTCAGAGGGTTATAATGTGAATGTTAAAATTTGCTTCAGGCTGATTCCTGGCATATGCAAAGTGCATGTGCAAAGTATTGGGCTGGAACTCATTCTCTCCTTTTAAAATAATTTTAAGAATTTTCAAGTTTACAGAGTTGAAGCTATAGCTACAGAAACAATTAGTAGAAGCATATGCTTTTGACAGTAACATAAAAGCAGCTTATTGTTTTTGAAACTTGAATGCTGCACGTTGATTATTCAAATGCACAAGAAAGACCACCAGCGCAGCATTTAAGTCAAATTATTTCATTTGCCTTCCTTATTTAGCTAATCACCCTAAAGACAAAGAACCCAATTTCATGATTAAGGATGGGAGACTCGGCCTTATGGTTTCATTGATCAGCAGATCACATGTTTGTAGGTAGTCTTGGAAATACTTCGCACTCTAGTATTCCTTTGAGCTTCTTCTACACCGTCACACTAAGGTTCTTGGCACTTCAGGAGTGTCTGACGTTATATCTTAATATACTGCAAGCCCTATGCTTTACCACGTTCAGAAAGAACATCTCCAAAAAATTGCAAACTATGATCATCTCTTCAACAAAAAGATGTTTATTGTGCTCAGTTATTGTCAGGGCTTTGATAACAGCATCCTAACCATTGCTCACTAACATCAAGCGTGTGCGTTATCCTCCTTGCGCACTCAGTGCAAGACCGCGACAACAAAGAGTGGCTTCTGCAAACTGAAAGTGTCCACCCAAAGCACTGGCGTGGAATTAGCTGGCGTTTTGTGAATTTATCTCTGAGACTACTGCACATAAATTGCCTCATGTAGGGAGGCCTTAGATCTTAATAAAAGTAATGGCCATTCAATATATCATATCAAGATAACTGCAGATTTCAATTACAGCACATGAGCATGGGTTTTCCTTTGTTCTTTTTTTTTTCTTTTTTCCTTTTTCTTCCTCAGAGGAGAACAGATTTATTGGCAATTGCAATACGAAAATGTAACCCCAAATTTTATTTTTAACTGCGCTGAAAGAGATGCTTTTTGGAGCCCAGCTAGAGTGAAAAGGCATTAAAATAAATAAGAATCTCTTCAAAGTATTTTTGTCCACTTGCACATTCCTTACCACAATATCTACTTAGAACATGGGCTATCATCTCTCTGCAGCAAGGAATCTATTTTTTTTATCTTTCATAAAACTGGGATTTGAACTTAGCGTAAGTGAAGTTCTTAATAAAATGTGTGTTCTTAATAAAATAATTAATTAATGCCAAATACCTGTCCTATCCAATTCTTACACCAGTGGGCTAATCATTTTTTTGGTAGGAAGAGCAGAGATTGCAAGGAAAGCTACTTTTCTGACTTCTTTGAAAAACAGATATTCTGCTGCAGAGGCCTATAATTCATTGAAGTCATTAACATCTCAAAATAGTGTAAATTAAGAGCATAGAAACATATTTTGAATTGGAGGATTTGCTGCTTTGTTTTTGTATTTGTATTTTATTTTGTTTAGAAGCGGACACACATCTACATGCTTTCCCAAAGTGAACCAGAAAGCACTGACCTCAGCCAGCTACAGTCTCTGGTGAAAATAGAGGACCAGCTTGACTCATTTTAAATTGGCTTTGACTAAAATTTATAAGATTCTGGGCTTTGAATTTAATAACACTGCCAGCCCTTGCTTTGTTATAATCAAACCATGCATCAAAAAAAAAAAAAAAAAGTTCCCTTAAAAAAAGGTTCCTTAGAGCTAGAGTTTTAGAAAAGTAGATGTCCTATGAGGAAGTTTGAGATGTCACATTACATTTAGTCATTGCATGTACTTTTGTGTACCAGTGTGCATATAATTATATATGTATATTTTTATATATATATATATATATATACGTGTCTCACATATTAGCCTTTGTGCATCCATTTTTGGAGCAAGATTTCCTGATTTTTTTAAGGGTAATTTTACCCCTACACCTCGAGGGTAATGCAAGGTTTTCACCATCTGCAGGTTTCCTCAGTGAAGCCCTCCTCCTCCTCCTCCCCACCACGTACCAGGAGACCATTTTAATTCCTTCACCAACTGAATTCTCCAAGGGACGGATATATATGGTAACATAGCAGCCAATATCTTAGCTATCAGTTTTCATAGAGCCTGCCTGGACCTTTGCATTACGGCTGCCCCACACTTATTGTTCTCTCATTGCGGCTGTCAGCAGCCCCTGACAGCGCATTATGGAGTACATGGCTTCAGAGTCACTATCAATCAGGACACCATCATGCAGATAAAAGTAGCGGGCGATTGATAATAGGCCGCAAATCAGATCACCGGAGTCCAAGTACAAGATGCCGGTAACCTTGGGGTCCTCCCCCTCACTTTTGCCTGCTCTAAGCCCAACTTGGAGGATGCCCACAAACTTCCTACACCCGCATGGGTAATAAGAATAAAAATATTTAAGCAGTAAAGCCTTACCACGTGCTGTGTACCGCGTGCTGAAAGGCAAAGGTAGGCATTGACCGAACTTTGCGCGCGCTTTTGCGGGAGGTACAGCAGAAACGCTGTACAATACCTGCCATTACACCAACGCTCCTTCTTCCCCCTCGGTAGCAGCAGTTTTGTTGTGCTTTGAAAGTCTCTTACTTCAAAAGCCCTTCAACTTGATATGGCCATTTAGCGAGGAGAAGGAGCGAGCGTGTATAGTTTAGAGACGCTCTTCAGCGCGCTGAAAGCGCCATGTTAAAAACAAAGGGATCTAATTTGTCCTAGCCATAAATAATAAAACAAAACAAGAGTCGCATGCAAATTTCGCAACATAAAATTTTAGGTGATAAACAGAGCCGAGCCTGGCTTCTTGTTTAGTATTCCTTAGTTATCACCATAATTGCTGCATGTCTGTCATCACCAGGAAAAGAAAAAAGTGTCTCTCTCAGCTGCTCCCCTGCTTGTTTTGTTCACTGTATTCTTGTAAAGTGGGAGAAAATAAGTGTCATTTAATGAATAGTGCTATTCTTTGTCTGACAGCTTCATATCTGTTAGGTGTAGGAGGCCTAGTACTTTCCTTTTCTGATAATGTTTTTGACAGTGTGCTAAATTCCTCCCCCAAAAGGCCGGCGTATAGATTCTGCTAAAAGGGGCCACAGCCATCCTGAATGGATGCCCTCTTTTAACCCCCTTCAGCTTCTGTTCTGCCATTAATTGAGCTGATCAGATTGAGCATATGAATTTGCCTTTGATGTATTCGTGTGTTTAGTTGACGCCGCTCGCTCCCTCATTGGCGGCGGGCAGGAGCTCGCAGACAAATAGCACCGTCGCCATGGCGACGGGCGATAGCTGGGGATCGCTCGAAAAATATTTTTATTTCAAAATTCAAACTGGAAAATTCTCACTGGGTACGGCGCTCCATTCCGAGCGTGTCATAGCTAATGATGAATGCAATTAGGAATCCCACCAGTGTTTTAAATAATAAATTAGGCTAATTTTCTAGGCCTGCCATGATGACACACAAATACTAAAAAAAGGAATCTCTTTTTTTTTTTTCTAATCCACTACAAAAGATTTTAATGATTTTTGTTCTTCCCATATCAAAATGTAGAGAAAGGAAGAATAGGGCTATAGCCTCCTACATGCTGAAGAGGAGAAGCCTAGAGGTAAACTTTTTCTTTTTTTTTTTTTTTTTTCTCCTTACTTCATGCTGCTCCACTATTTGGTTATTCCATATAAAAGCAGGTGAAGGAATCCTTCTGCCATCGCTGCAGCAGTTGGTAAATCTCCAAGGGTGAAAAATGCCCACAGCCATTTTTAATTACGGAGCATGGAGAGCTGGTGAACCCAAGTTTAGTAGGCTCTTGAAATCTCCCACCGCCAGGATTTGAGGTCTTAAGATATCATTTAAAATGCAAGGAAACAATGACAAGAAAATACCTAACAGAAAGAAAAAAAAGAAACAGATGATTAGGCTATGATGATTTGTAATTAAAATACATATTTTGTATTAATCTGCTGCTATTTTTTTCCCCTGGAAATTAGCTTCCTGACTTTGGCTTTTAAGATACTGCCTGTCAATGTGCGGTAATAGAGTTTCAGGCTTCTGCTTCAACATATAATTACACTACATTGAAATCCATTGATATTATCATCTTTTATGCTACTTCCAATTAGACTTGTTCAATCTTGAGGGGTCAATCCCCTATACCTTAGCATTCTGTTACATGTTAAAATTTAAGAATCCCCCTGGGAAATGTGGTTATATTTAAGTACTTCCCTTCAATCTACAGTATAGCTGCACTCTTCATGGGGGGAGATAGTTTTAAGGCGGCTATGGTTGCAATCACACAGAACATGTCACAACGTAGCGAACAGAAACTTAAGGAAATCTCTTCCACTATATTAACATTCTTAACTACAGATTTACAATCCTGATATGCAGGATTTACTGGTGCATGAAAGCAAGTAAAAGAAAATAATTTAAATAATAGTTTTATCTTAAACATCATTTTCCTATCTTCTGCTTTTTTTCCCCTGTAAAGAACTATTCTGCTTAATCAGGTAAAGAATTTAATATATTATAAATGTCCTCAATAGTTTTAAATACATTTTTTACCATACTTTAAATGTAAAAATTCAATCACACTTCGTCACCCTAGATGAGATCTTGCCCATATTGAAATCATGGACCCATGTTTTCAGTTCAGGAATACTCCCAGTAAATCAAACATTAATAAATGAATGAATAAATAAATAAAAGTCTCCAGCTATGGCTGCAAAACTCCGCTTAGGAACAGAGGTTTCTGCTTTATGAATTCATTGTCTTATGGTGGCAAGAGTATAAAAATTAAGCTCTGGAATAATTTATTTCCAGTTTTTGAAACAGATTCCTAATGCAGCTTTTTTTCCCCCCAGCTTATTGTCTTTAAAAAATGACGTTTATAAATCACTTTAATAAACTAATTCAAAGTGTTGATTGTTTTTACCAACTTCGTGTTACGCGTTCAGGAAAAGTGAATTTCATCTTTATATTTCCATATTTAGAAATAAAATCTGCCAATAACATTGAATTACAGGTCCTGCATTTTAAATAATAAACAGGTTTTAATTAGCGAGACCTTGCTTTATCTCAAAAAACAGGAATATTTTGAAAAACATCAAGCAACATGAAGCAACCACCAACAGAACTACCTAACTACTACAGCATCACTTATAAGAACAAACCCAGTAAGACAACTAATTTCTGGCCAATGTAAACATTAATAACAGTGTGGAAGGGAAAACGTAATTTATTTCATTTTCATTAGTCAGGCTCCTCAGATTGCAGGGTATACCCATCTGATTGGATAACGATCAGAGCCCATCACCAGGGCTCGATGCAGCCTGGCTGTAGGTTACACGTAGGCTACAGAGTTATGCAGGCAGGTGAGAACTTCCCTGACAGCAGCCTAGCGGCCGACTGTCTCCCACCTAATGCAAAGGTTCACATCCCCTGAGCTTTGCTGTAAACCCACCAGCATAGTCTTAATAAGGCAGTTTTGAAAGGCAGGTACATTTATCTTGTCCTGGTACAGAGTCTAACAGTAACCTTACTAGGACACAGAAGACAGGATCTGAACAGGAACGTGAGGTGCTAATTGATTTCATGAAAATAAACCTGCTTATTTTCCTGTATTTTGTTGGTCTGAATCACATACTCGTCTTTTTCAAGCAAATAAATTCATAATAGAAAGTAACCCGTTCTACTCAAAAATCCCCTATGCTAAATATTAACAGCCATAGTTCATTACATTTCAAACAGAATAGATTATAAACCTTTAAACTGATCCTATATCAATACAAATCAATGTGCAAACTACAGGAAACACGGACACTTAATTATTCGTAAACCAAAAATACATTTTTCATTTAGCAAATATTAAAAATATTTAAAACACAGTAAAAGTTGAAATAAAAACAGATGGGAGGTTCTGAAGATAAATGGAAAGCTCTGCATAGATGGAAGAATTTAGATTTATAGATAGTATAAGATTATAGGACATGTGGTGATGATTCAGTTTTCTGGATTTAATTTCTCTAATTTTATATTGCTGTTTGTTTTAAATCAGATCCATCTTGTACTTTCCATCTAAAGAAGTTCCATCATTATAAAAAATAGTATAAGATATTACTGTAATAGGAACTATGGACTATTCATTGTGAAATACAACTCCATAATTAAGACAAAAGGTTTGCAATTTACCGTTTTTTTTTCCAAATAGATTTTGTGAGGATTAGAATGTATTTTAAAAGTTGCCGTGGCTTTTGCTTTAAAGAGGACCCTTGCAATACTACTATACGGCCTATTTCCTATCTTCAGAAAAATCATCTAATTCAGAGATCAATGGATTTAGTGAGACAGCCCATGGACAAGAGGTGATGATCCTGACATAATAGAGCCCATTCACTATTAAAATGAATCCCCCAAAATGTTCAGTACTCTAATCCAAACGAACGGGAAGAATTTCCCTATACAATGAGAAAACCTTTTTCTTTAAAAGCTGAGAACCCATACCTGAATTATCTCACCTAAACAAGCCTTCAAAATTCTAACTGCTAATCTAGGTAAATTAGCACTGTTTCCAGAACATGGTTTAAAATCAGTTAATTATTTAAAACAAGGGGAAAAAAAAAACAGAAATTGATTCCAAGTGTGCTTAATACATATTTGCACTTGGATGGTGTTGATCACTCCAAGAGGAGTTCCAAGAATAATTAAGTACACCAAAATCGTAAAACATAAGGCATGGGCATCAAAGAGAAAAATCTTATAATTAAAAATACATTTAAATGTAATGTCAACTAGTGCAATTCTGTCTTCTTGCAACTTATCTAAAACTTCACCTTTTTGAGATGTTCTTTCTGATATTTTTAAGGATAAAATGTTAACGTGGGGTAGTCAATTGACTCCAAACATTCTCTTTAAATCCTGAAATTGGGTTGATATCTGTAATTCAGTAAAGTGCTTACACATAAGATTAAACGCAATAAAGTTACACGCATGAACTTTAATCCAGAAATATATTAAGTTGATATCAATGTAATTAAACACATGATTTTAGATTAACCATCTGCTTAACACCATTTTGAAACTATTGCCTTACTCAAGCCCTCAGCACAATAGTAAGCACCAAGTTTTCCATTAAGACTTTCTAAACTTTTCTCTATTTTATAATGCAAATTATATAAATTGCAGTTTAACATTTTAAAATCTTATTCTAAAAACAGGCTGAGACTCACATAATATATTTTTTAAAGCGGCATTGTATAGCAAATGTTTTTAATACGGCACCAAACATTTACTTCAAAGAATTTAAAACCAATGTGAATTTTCTTTTTAGTAGACTAGGCAACCATGTCTATAGTGTGTAGCCACACTTTGTACTCCAGCTGCAGCAGTAAAATTACTGAAACTGTAATTCTCTTAATATTTAAATAATATATTAAAATTTAATTTTCAGCACCTGGAAGAATCTGTTTGTGTGCCAGCAAATGAGGTAGTTGGGCCTGGAGCTCCTATACATATGGGACTCAAAAACAACCTATCACAAATAATTACTAAGCTAGAGCAGCTGTACTCACCACACTAGTCATTTAAAAAAAAAAAAAAAAAGAAAAAAAAAAAAAGAAATCAGGTCAAAGTTTCCCTAATTCTTTTCAAGATCTCAAGGATTTCTGCAAATAAATTCTATAGTCTTCTCTTTTTTGTTTTCCTACATGTTTATATTATTTTTATTGTAAATAATTATAAGAAGGACATTAGACAGTTTTAGCTTTCCAAATATTTTAGAGGGCTGAAATAGATCTTAGTTTTACGAGAGATTATAAAAATATGCAATGCTTATTTTCCAGTAAATCAAACTATGAACATACACTGGAATAAGAAATAATTTAACTGATGTATCACATGCATATACATGTGGTCCGACAGTACAATTCACCATGGTATATATGTATTATGAACACAGAAAGATTGTAGGCTTTCTCTTATTTTTATGCAGGCAGTTTTCAGCTAAACGTATTTCTTTCAAAAGCACTTCCCAAATTATGTGCTTTCAGACACACTTTGTTCTCCATCACTTTCAAGAAGGTGCTTTCCCAGAAACCACTACAAACTTTATGAACATTTGTGAAAAGTCTACGTGCATTTTTTTAATCTTTTCAGAATTTATTTAGAATAATGTAATCTGAGATCACATTTTTCGCCACTTACATAAAACTCACAATGCTTGCACTGAACATGAAAAATTTTTAAATCTTTTAAAAAAATCAGATAGAACGTTTTTACTATGAGTTTTTACTCATAGCTTTAAATAGCCTAACCTGCATTCCTATGCATAAAAATCAAAAGGCTCATAATGAAAAACATATATTTTATAATGACATACATAGAAATAAAACACATTAAACTTTGGGGGGAGAGAACCAAGCATTTATACACTATTACCTTCAATCACTTGAATGCAAGTCATTCATACCACCACTATTGCTAACAAGGCATCCAATTTACTAAACAATGAATATTGAAATTACGTTTAAAAGGTACAAATGACTGTCCAAAGAATGACACTGAAAAATATTAAGTAACAGCTCTACCTCAAGATAAGCCTCACAATTAAAGAGTTTTAATGAAGAGAGCCTTCAAAGGCTAAATCAGGAGGCATTGATTAGATTGCCTCTAACTTTGTGTTTTGACACCTTCGTCTTTCATGGCATTATATTGTCTCTGTGCATCTTACAAAGGAAGCATTTTACTAAGCCCACACATGAACAGGAGACAGCAGTGCTTATAAAAGAGACTGTCAAGGGTGTGAGCCAAAATGGGTCTCATTTGGATTTCAAGTGAAGAAAACTCCTAATGCATTTCATTACAATGTATGCGAACCTCTGAAAAGAAC